TATATTGACCCGCTTTTTTTTTTTTATGTATACTATACTAGACAATGTAAAAGAATTTATTAGCTATGTGATGAGACGTTACACAAACTTTTAATTCTCCGAACCAATAGAATTTATGAAGGTCACGAAATGATCTACAAAAAATTAACCAATCACAACGAAAGCCCGCTATGCTATCTCTGTATATATACGTATATAAAGTTTTAAACACTTGTTACCAATTCTACTCTTATATGAGTGTCGCTAAAAGAAAACCCGACAATTTAAATATAAATCATATTTAAATTTTCGGGTTTTCTTTTAGCGACACTTATATATTAACGTCCTTTACGTTTCAAAAACTCTTCAACATAGCTTAGAAATCGCTTTATCTATTTCTAAAAGAAAAGTTGTACTTTTAGTTTTTTTTCAATAACCCCGCTACATTCAACGTTTTAGTAATTACACATAGTTCTATAGTTACGGTATACTTAAAATTTTCACCTTCTAAGTAAGGTACCACTAGGTGTGGGATTATTTGGGATTATTTTGCATAGTAACTATCGGCGCTTCTTCGAAGTTAAAGACGATTTTAATTTTTATTTTTTACTTGTAAAATGTTACATTCTTAAAAAGTACTTTAAACTGTATAAATACAATTGTATGTGATTAACCAATCAGAAGAAAGTTATCCTATATGGTAATATATTTAAAAGAGATGATATGACAGCCATCTTTATTTAATAAAATTACTAAAATAAGCATGTATGCCACTTAATATAGATTACATATAGAATATAAAAATCAACATGTCTTCTATCACAAACTGTCAATTAAATAAATGTCAATGCAATATTTTTTTTGAATAATTCTCTTGAAAATTTTGATAATTCAACTAGAGCCATGCTTTTAAAAGTTAAGCTAGAACATCCAAGCAGATAACTATTTACTATATATTTATATTTTGTGAGTATAAAGAATATACGCATATTTATATTAATCTTAATATTTAATTAATATCACATTTATGAATATTTATATATTATTTTATTTGTATTCAAAATAAATTATTCAACTTTGTTAATTGGTTTTATTTTATTTGCAATAATTTAATACATCAATATAAAAAACAATTTTTTAATCTAAATTAGTGATTGAACCTGTCTTAAAAAATACAACCTATGTTACCTGACAGGTAGACCCACGAGTCACTTGGGTAAACTGTCAGGTCTACCTGGGTACAAAGATTACTCATCAAACCCGGGTCAGAAAAAAATTATTAAATCTTTAAATATCATATACAAGTTCCTCTTTGATATAGACACCATGAATTAGACCCATATATGAACTAATCATAGATTTGGTCATCAATTTTGAAATGATTTTAAGGTATTCGATCATCAATTCTGATTTTTAAAATTGACCTACACTCCTAATATCAGTGAGGATCTTTTGATAATATAACGTTTCACTAATAAAAATTACCACAAAGGCCATTTCTAGCTTTAAACGAATGTTAATATTCACTAGGCAAAATAGTATCAAAATAATCTTAATCACGACGAAGTTTGCTTAGAAGACAAAATTACCTACCATTTATTAGATGATCTTAAATTATGCTGAAATAAAGATAAGTGTGTTCAAGACTATTTTATTATGTTATATTTAAAAAAAGACAATTTTTATTACTAACTATTGAATTTAGATAAGAATAGGTTTATTGTAAAAGAAGTTTCAGGTTTAATACTTGAGTTCTTGCATTGTGTTTGGATTCGTCAGCCGTAATAAAGTTTGGTTTATATTAATAAGTTTGGGTTTATTAACAATGATACCGCCTTTACTCCACTTTACATATATCTATATATCCTCTATATATTTGAAATAAACTAATTCTTTTGTATATTTATTAATTTATGAACTTCGTACGAAATTTCTTTTGCTTTCTGGGTAATATTAAAGTGATAAATTTTTTAAAATTATATAATTTGATTGGCCAATTACACGGATGATTACAGTATATCTTCCTCATATCGATATGAGAATAGCAGTCCCAAAGCAGTTAGACTATCTTGAAAATGCATTACATTGCTTTGGCTTGCTAATATTAACAGCGGGCTGGCTCACGGGTGGACATAATCACAATCCGGATACCTGACCCGCCCGGGCATACCCGGGTCACCCAACCCGGGTTCAATCACTAATCTAAATATTCAAATAAGTTATTCCAGCTTTGTTTACTATTCATAATTTGTTTTAGATTGTAAATATAATGAGAATTTAGCTATTCAAGTTCATAATATTTACAATTTATACTCATGAATAGTGCATGAATATAAAAATTTGAGTAGTTAAATCAGATATCCAAGTTCATAAATATTTATTACTTAAGTTCATTTTATTTGCATTAATTTAGGTATAAGAATAAAGAACATTTAATTTTCAAAGTATTTGGGTTCATGAATATTTACTATAGTAGTAATAAAATAATGCGTATTATATGCAAAAACTCAAGAATCAACTTCTTATCAAAGTTCTATTTACGGAGTCTCGAATAAAAAGATTGAACTTGTAACAGCCCTTGTCTCGTGCTCAACGGCACGGGTTCACGCTAGTAATTACCAAATATAATTGAAATTTTTTTGCGAAATGACGTATCTCTGATCAAATTTTGAACTTTTCGATCAGATGACTTTATTAAACAAAAGTGAAAAGCGTGAAAATCCTGTTCGCTATTTCGTATGCTCTACTATCAAAGATACTAGCATGTATAGTATCACCAATAGTTATAATTTAGATTTGGCAAAAGATTCCTTGACTTGCTTAGCAAATTCTGCATCAATCAAAAAGTCTAGTCCAACTAAAGTCATCCCACTCGTAGCTTTTATAGTTTCTTCATGAGCAGTTTTTGTTTTGCATGCTGAGGCAAATTCTCTTTGATGATTAGGAATAGACGAACGAATGTCATAAACCGGATGAAACCCAGGTACCAAGTAAGTTACATTTCCCTGATCAGTGGATGCGCCAAAGTAGTTATCCTGATCTTTTCTCGATGGAAATGTGATACCAAATTTTTTTGAAAGATAGTATTCGTAACGCGTGGCAAGAGGTTCATTTATATTCACATCTATAAACGATAATTAGGTTACTTATTATTATTCAATTGATGAATACTTATTATACTTGTGAAACTACCATGAACTGCGTTCTTCCATGTAATTTTGACTTTAGCTCCAGTCGCTTCTGCTGCTGCTTCAAAGCACTTATGTACACGTGGCTGAAGCTCATCCAAATCTTTCATTGTCTTTCCACGAACAAGGAAAGTACCAGCTGTATGTTCCGGAATGACTAAAAATATTATGTAGAATTTTTGATTATTATCTTAAATTTGATTTCAATATTGGTGAAAATATAATACCGTTGGGTGCTTGTCCTCCATTAGTAATTATTCCATGAATTCTACAAATATAACAATCAAGATTAAGTATGAAATCATTATAAAAATAAATATGAAATCATTATAAAAATAAATATGATAATCGACTTATACCTGTCTGTAGGCAGAATCTGCTGTCTTAACAGTCCAATATTATTATACGCCAATACTATGGCATCCAATGCATTAATTCCTGTTAGGTCATTTTATTTTTGTATAAAAATTGATTAATTATCAACACATCGCCAAACAGCGTAAAAAAAAAAAATAAAAACAAAAAACAGAATTTCATAATACCCTTATGAGGCGTTGCTAATAATCCATTAAGCAACAAATTAAATGTTAATAAAATCATATATATATATATATATGTGTGTGTGGACAGGACTAGTCAGTGCCCCATGCACTTTGCGCCGCCCCCTACTATAAAATTGCTAATATCTCGAAATTTTGACTAGGTAACCCTGTCATATAACATAAGCAAAAATGTTCCTCTCGCAATTTTACCTTACCATAACCCTAATCCTAATCATACTCGTAACCCAACCCTAATTCTATTGTAGCTCAATTTTGCAATAAGGGCACAAAGTGCATGGGTGCACTGTTTAGATTTTTCCTATATGGACATATATATATAATAAAAAGAAATAAAATAAAATTTTCACCCGAAGCATGTGCAGCTTTCCCAAAATATTCAACATCTACATGATGGATTGCTAGAAAAGGTATAAAACCTCCATTTAGCGGACTAATTTCATCAATCATTGTGTTAGCAATTGAAAGTTGAAAAATATGCAGAAATTAAATGCTAGCATAATGTCACCTTGGATGGACCATTAATGAAACATCAACTTCCTCATATGCACCGGCTTCAATTAATTCGATTTTCCCACTACCCGTCTCTTAAAAAAAATAGATGTAATATGTAATTGATATTGCATTCTTTAAATTTTATAAAAGAAAGAATAAAAATTTCAATACCTTCTGCAGGGGTTCCAAATAACTTTACAGTTCCTTCAATATTAAATTTCTCAAGAACTGCCTTGAGACCAATTGCAGCACCTACTCCACTAATTGCGATAAGATTATGTCCGCAAGCATGACCAATTTCTGGCAAAGCATCATATCTAGTATATATATTATATAGCCTTTTATAAAAAAGAAGTTAATACTTATTTTAAAATAGCTAATATTACTTACTCGGAATTAAATGAAACAACGCGACCTCTTCCAGCTTTAGATTGAAATTCTGCTACAAATGCGGTTTCTAACCCAAAAGCACTCGGTGTTACTTTAAACCCTTTTTCTTGCAAATAATCAACCAATAATTTATGTGCAAATTTTTCTTCGAAAGCCAATTCTGGATTCTCGTTTATCTGTGCATTTAGAATTGTTAGCATTAAATTTTAATATGCTTAATTTTACTTTATCAACATGGAATTTACTTTTATGCTTATCTCATAAAGCTCATCAGAAACGTCTTTAATAGCTTTAAGAGCAGTATCAGCAAACTCAGATGTCAATTCAGTAGTTTGTTCCATTACAAGTAAAAAAGTTTAGTATCAAAATTTGATCGCAATTTTATGGATTATACCAGGAACAGGCAGAGTGATAGTGAAAATTTCCCGAATTGCACGGTGTAACGAATTAATTTTATAATCTTACCTTTTTGTGTAATTGATTATCTAACTAGATTAGTATCATAATTGTTAAAGCCCTCGAAGGAGGTAGTGTGTGCATATTGACATGAGGCTAACACGATAGCGTGATGCCTCTGATGTCATAAAGTAGGTTCCAGAATGTGTTCTCCTTCATAATAATCCAAATGTATAAAAGTGAAGCCTTCATTCTAATAAACGGGAGAAGCTCATTCTCATAATAAAGTAACCTGGACATAATGATATTCTCTCCTTAATTTCGCACCATCATTAAGTCGCCCTAATAGAATTACTATACCCTATAGAAGTCTTTTATTATTCAATCCACATAACTTCTAGTAGCGGTTGGAGCTACACTGTGCATTTATTGTGCATCGCTCTCCCAACCAACCGTTACAACGGTTATGTTCCGATTTAATGCTATCCAGAAGGCTTTGTTTATTGGTGTGACCCGAGCTTCCGGACCTAATTAATTTTGCCCAAAATCACCAAATTTTAATAAATTTTACTAACGCTAAAAAACAACCAACCAATATACTAATGAAATAGTAAACGTCATGCAAGGTGGGTTTTACCAACCTGTCGTCTTGAGGTATGATGATTAAGAAATTTGTATCAGTTTATATTACGATTTCATGTTTAAGTTTGACACTTATATTATTTTATGGACTTTTTAAGCTTGGCCATTGCGAAAAGAGTCAGGCATGTGATTTCCAAGCCTTATTAGTTTGTGCATAGCCCTGTAATTTAATATTATGTGATAATTAGTGTTCCTTATCGATAAACTATATGTTGCAATATTATTTATTATTTCTATATGTATTAGTTATATTATCCTATAAAATAGATATAGTGCAGTAGTATAGCTGATATATGTAACAGCTAACGATTATAATTAATTTGAATAAATAGTCCCAATGTATGAAAATCAACACACTATTTTAATATATAGTAATCTTATTATTATACATCGACGAGGCTATTCAGTTCAGCAATTTTCAATTGGGCAATCCTTATAATTTGCTCCTAAGATCATAAAACCAAATCGATTTCAACTATTTACGATCAGACTAACTAGTACATGATCATGTCGCCAACTAATAATTAGATATAACAGTATATGGTATTAACAGGCACTGACAATTTGATAATACATGATTAATTGAAATCAAAAATATATATTAAGGTGTTATTCTATTTTTTTTTTCATAATTCTTGGCTTTGTTTGAGTTTTACGTTTTTTTCTGTTTTGGCCTCGCTTCGCTCGTTAGATTTTAAACTCTACATTTTTTTTACCATATTTCAACAATCATTAATTGCTAGCTTAAAGTTTTAATCAAGATTCACAATAATGTAAAACATAGATACTAGAACTTATATACTAGAACTTATATATACGGGAGGTTTTGCCATTCAGTTTTAGCTATCTAATAATTAGGGGTAAAACAATGTTCTATTTGATTAACATTTAAACTTTATTAAAAATTCTTTCTCTTTAATGAAATAGAACACAAATACATAAAGCTAGTTTTAAAAATAACTAATGCAATAACTTTCGGCCTCAATTCAAGCTCAGTTTTACATTTATTATGTTTTGCCTAGCTTCGCTCGTCATTGTTTTAAATTTTACTACTGTATCGATACGTATATTTTATTTATTTAAAAAATATATCGATAGCACCACATTGTAGATTCAGGTTCTAATCAAGGTTTATAGTCACATGGATAATAACTTATATAAATTTAGAAACGATTTACCCAGTGGCGCAAAACATTCATTTTTGATACACCTGCACCTACTTTTTTGATACACTTAAATGCACCCCAAAAATTTTATTACTT